GTGGTGCCGTATTGGGCCACCTGGCCCTACCAGACCCTGCTGCTGCCCCGCCGCCACGTCTGCCGTCTCCAGGACCTCCGCGAGTGCGAGAGGGATAGTGAGTGGCTCTGCACCTCGTTAGCTCTTGTCCCATGTCCTTTGGGCTCGGCCTTTGTTAGGAGGCAGCTCCATGGCAGCCTTGCTGGTGGCTGGAGGGTCCGCGTCCCTTTGGGGTGCTGGTCTGCCAGGTTCTGCTTGGGTGAGGACTGGCAGCCTCGTTGTGCGGCGGGTATTCAGGTGCCGGCAGTACTGGTGGGGGGACTAGTGTCCTTTTTAGGGTGATGAAGCACATGGTGCCCAATACTTTTGGGGTGCAGGCTGATGAGGAATGGGGGCTCCTCCTGCCGCATTGCTTGTGCTGTCTGCATGAGTGGGGAGGGAGGAAACTGCCAAGTGCATCCCTCCTACCTGTCACCGATGTCCGCCCAGGGAGGGGTGCTGAGGGTGACCCCCTCCAGGCCCAGCGTGCTGCCTGCCCTTGGAGGTGGCTGGCCAGCTCAGGGTGTGACTTCCCGACACTCCCCTGCAGGCCTGGCCTCCATCATGCAGAGGCTGCTCATCAAATATGACAACCTCTTTGAAGTCTCCTTCCCCTACTCCATGGGATGGCATGGTAAGTGGCATGGCCGGGGGACCCCCATGACCCTCTCATCCATGTCCCTGTCCCCTCCCTGGGGCTCATGCAGCAGCTGCACCCCTGACAGGAGCCCCCACGGGCCCCTACCTGGAGGAGGACTGTGGGCACTGGCAGCTCCATGCCCACTACTACCCCCCACTGCTCCGCTCTGCCACCGTCCGCAAGTTCATGGTGGGCTATGAGATGCTGGCTCAGGCACAGCGAGACCTCACCCCCGAGCAGGTAAGTGCAGCCCTGGGGCTCATGCAGCAGCTGCACCCCTGACAGGAGCCCCCACGGGCCCCTACCTGGAGGAGGACTGTGGGCACTGGCAGCTCCATGCCCACTACTACCCCCCACTGCTCCGCTCTGCCACCGTCCGCAAGTTCATGGTGGGCTATGAGATGCTGGCTCAGGCACAGCGAGACCTCACCCCCGAGCAGGTAAGTGCAGCTTTGGGGCGGGTGGGGATTGTGGGGAGCCAGGGGGTCCTGTGCCAGGGCCCACCCTGGGACCGACTGGTGGCTGCCCCTCTTGCTGTGCCCCGCAGGCGGCTGAGCGCCTGAGGAGCCTCCCTGAGGTGCACTACAAGCAGAGGGACAAGGAGACGTCGTGATGGGGAGCAGCAGAGCCAGCCTTCGGCTATGCTCGGTGAAGCCAAGGAGAGGAATCAGCTGAGGGTGGCGAGAGCTGATGCCTGGGAACTCTTGTCACTTGTAAGCACTCTGATCTCCCAGCCCCTCTGGAGCCTTGTCACAGCTTTGTCCATCGTGGGGACTGGTTTTGCCTGCTCAGGTACCCCAGTCCTAATTCTGTGGCATCCTCACGAAGGTGGTGCAGTGCTGTTCCTTCTGTCTCCTTCCCCATCCCAGGCTGTGTCTTCCACTTCTGCCACCACTAAAGGGCTTACTCTCCTTACCAGTCCAGTCTTACTGGTGGGACTGGGAGTGCTGCCTGCCCTGTGGAGGGCCACAGCCCCCCTGGCCAATAAAACCTGGAAACAAAATGACTCTGCCTGTGCCCTCGTGGCTCTTGGCCCTGGGTGGGAGGTTTGGGATCTCTGGTGAGGACCCAGAGCTGCTGCGGGGGGATAACACTGGGAGCTGCAGCGGATGTGCTGGCAGCCCTATGCTGCTTGCTGTTGTCCCTGTCTCTGCTTTGCCTCCTCTTCCTCCCTGGGGGGAGCTCTGAGCCTGTCTCTGAGCGCTGTGGACTCGGGGAGGAGTGGGAAGCTGGGAGGCATTGATGCTGCCCAAGGCTTAGCAAGCTTCTGGGAGAGGGCTGAGGCCTGGCAGCCTTGCTGCATGGGGGCTGCTGGCCAGGATGCTCAGCCCTGGAGCTGCTCCTCTTCCTCCTCTGTGTCTGGGGCTGGGGGGCTGCAGCCCTTGTCCTGTCAGCCGCGGGTGGCGGGGCTGCCTTGCGGGGCTGCCGGAATGCAGCGAGGGGCTCATTCATCGCTAGTCTGGGGGCTGCCAGGGGCTTTAGCTCTGCTCAGGGTGCTGCTGCCCTGTTTTTGCTTCCCTGTGCTCACCCATGGCGCTGGGCAGCAGCAGCCTGTTCCTTGGGTGGAGCTGAGGGATGCTGCAACCAGCTCTGTGCTCTCTCTTCCCCAGGAGCCCCTTGCCTCAGGGAGGCTCTGGGGCTGTGCAGGGGTAGGTACTGGACAGTGATGCTGCACAGCTGATGGGGGGGGGGTGCCCAGCACCACCTGCTATCACGTCTTTGCACAGAGTTTTTATTTGTCACTAAAGTGCCATTCTCATAACTCCTTAAGAGGCCTCTATCCTTGTGGAGTCTGTGAGTGGGCTGCTGGGGGCTAGAAATATGTTGTGAGGAGAGAAATCCTCTCCTACCTACAAGAAGATAATTTGTGGAGAGGGCTGTGCCCCTCCCTGACCCATCTGTACATCGCTCCTCCATCCCTACCCATGGGGCTGGGGCAGGGAGAAGGGCCCGGCCAGCGTGAGGCTCAGAGGCAGGCTGGATGTGGCTTTCCTACATGCTGGCCCCATCCTCCTCCCCAGTCACCCCATCCCAGAGCCCACAACCCATCCTACCACCTGGCCTCAGGGCTCCCCAGGTGCCCAAGGGTTTTGGGGAGGAAGCTTTGACCCTTGAGCTTGGAGCCATTGTTGCAGACGGTATTCCCCTGCATGGCATGAGGGGTGCCCAGCTCAGAGTCTGGCCTCTTGCAAACTGATTTCTTCCCTCCTGGGACAAGCAGTGTTCATCTGGGCTCTGGGCCCATCCCCATCGCAACCCCCATCCCTTATTATCGCAACAAGTGCCTTCGTGCCAAGCTCCGAACTTCCCCACTCGTCCCCAGGTCTCTGGAAAAGTGACAATGAATTGGCTTAAATGTGGGAATCCAGATTGGGGTAATTAGCCGCTGAACCGGTTGTAACGAAGCTAGTCGTCTCCCTGCACGCACAGTTAGCTCTGATTTAATAGTCCACCGGCTCCCAGCCTGGGCTGCAGTGCCTCGGCCTGGGGCCGTAAATGAAACTCACAGTAAGTCAAGCGGTATTAAACTTTACGGTCGCCGTCTTTAAAAATGAGGCTCACTCTCTAGTAAATCAGAACAAGTGGGATTGTAAATATCGAGGCAGGATCCATATTGCTTAATTAAACAGTACCTAATGAACAGCCTGTTTGTTGTGTTGTGATTTAGGATGGAGGCTGGCAAGGTGGCTTGTGCCGAGGGGTGCCGGTACCTGTGCTCAGATGCCCTTCTTGGCAGGTGGCAGCTGCTGGAGTGCAGCTGTGCTAAAAGAGCTCAGAGACAGCTTGAGAATTAATTTTTATTTTTTTTTAAAATAAAAATTATTTTTTTCCCCCCAAGAAAACCATCTGAAACATTCAGGGTGGAAGTCAGAGGCAAGTGGAGAAGGAGCAGGGGGTACAGCCAGAGGTGATAGCTGGACCCTGGTTGCACTGAGCCCCCCACTTCCTCACAACAGATCCACATCCTCTTGTCCTGATATTTTTAGCTTGTGTGAGGGGGTGTGAAAGGCTGGAAGGTAGCAATGAGCCTTTCCTGTGGCATGGGGAGGTGTCGGGCTGGTACGAACGGAGCTGCTGGGGTTGCAAAGGTATTGCAATTCATAGGAACCATGGCTGCCATGTTGTAGAGCCCTGAAACCTTTTATATTTTGGTAGTTACAGTCCAGTTGTATTCAAAAAGTGATTTATGGCAAGGAGATTAAAAATGTCTAGCTGGGTGTGGGATGGTGGATTGGAGGGGCTGCTGGGGACCCAGCCGTGGCTGCTGACCTGGGAGCATCTAAGGGAAACTGAGGCCTGTTGAGATTCCCTGTAGGGATGTGCCTTGATGCCACTTCATTTCTTCAGAGGAGCTGTTGGAGATCCTGGGCAAAGTGTCCTTGAGATGGGATCATTGTCCTGAGCACCTGTCCCCCAGCATCAGGGCAAACATGTCCTCCGCAATCCCTGCCCTGAGGTGCTCTGGAAGGATGAGCAGACAATGCGGGGGGAACAAGGGGACAGGAGATGGAGCTCAAGCATGAAATTAATGCATTAAAATGCATCGAGGTCCCATGGAGGTGTTTGCTGCCTCTGTGGCGCGTTAATAGCGCTGTGAGTGATTAGGAAAGGGCTGTGGTGTTTCTGTGCTGGGCTGGCATGTCCTGCACTCTGCAAGGAGCAAAGGATAAGCCCAGCGGGAGATGCAGAGATGTAAAACTTGAGAGGGGATTGCCAGGAATTTAGTCTCATTTCCATTCCGTTTTCTGATGCCACTGCAACAAATGGGTCAGTGTGCCAGGGGACGTGGTTTCCTCAGAGCTGTTGGGGCTTCGGTTTGACTGAGATGAACCAATGTGCTCACCTGGGTTGCAGCAGTGCCGGTCTCCATTGTCACCCGTGTCCTGCATGTTTGGGGGACCCAGATCATCCCCAGCTCTGACACTGACTCCTTCTGCCATCACAGGTAAGTCCTGGGATATTAGTCCAGGATGCTGCCCCAGTGCACAGAGACCCTTTGGCATGAGCACTTAGTGATGGAGGTTAACTGCAGGAGGTGCATTTGTCACCTTTCATTATGTGTCCGTGTCCTAGGCAGGTGCCAAAGGCTGCAGAGCTGCAGATCTGCTGCGGATCCTGAGTCCCCAGTCCTGCCCACCCCTCTTCCTCTCCTCCCTACCTTCCAGCACAGGTGAGACAATAAATATTGAGCAAAGGAAGTTGATCTGTGACCAGAGCATTTTAATCAGAAAAAAAAGGTATTAGTGCAGGCCTGCTGGCTCCTGCCAAAATGCAGTTTTACTGTCCCTCCTGGTACTGGGTTTATGGCTGTCATTTCATTACAGTTTTACTGTTGTTTTTGCCCTTATCATTGAATTTCTCCTTGCCTGCTGTTGCCTGTGACTGAATGGGCTTTTAGGAATGTAATAAGGAAGAAATTAGTAAATTTTTAGGGACGAAGAAGAGAAGGAAGGGAGGAAGCAAGGGAGGAGGAAGAGAGGAAGGAAGGAAGGAAGGATGAAAGGAAGGAAGAAATGGAGGGAGGAAGAGAGGGAGAGAGAAAGGAAGGAGGGGAGGGAGTGAAACAGGGAGGGAGGGAAGGCTAAATCCCTCCCATTTCTATCTAAAAAGACACCATCAGGCGCTTAACATGAAAACAATTAAAAATTTTTAGCAGATGCTAAACGCCCTGGTGCCCTGCAGCAGGCGGCTCCGTGCTGTGGAGAGATCTGCTGTGCCAGGAGAATGAAAAACAAAACGCAAACCCCTTTTAGGTCTTGGCTTAGACGAACACACAGGAATATGGGAGCAACCTGTGGGGCAGCAAACAGCACCGCGCTTGTCCCAGGCCACCTGGAGCATCTTGCCTGGGCTTGGGGCAGCTGCCTTGGCAGGGGCTTTCCAAAGGGCCGAGACCAGCAGGAAACAATTTTGGAAGTGACTCGTCCATGCCTCAGCCAGCTGGTGTTTTTTCCTCTGATGATGGTCACTGAGATCTCCCTGCATTTTCAGAGCCCTTGGGGACCATGTGCCGTGGGAGCACTGCTGGTCCTAGGTGGACACAATGGGATGTCTGGACGCTGCCTGCCAGCAGCAGAGAGCCACGGGCTCTGCACAGGCTTTAGGACAGCAGCCCCAGGGCTGGGATTTAATTTGTTAATAAGCTGAGACATGCAGGTAATTAAATACCGTCACAGTGCAACATCTATACTGTCACTAAGCAGTGGATTCCCCCTGCTCCCCCCAAATTTCCTGCACACCCAAGGTTGGGGACGTACCCTGGGGCTTGGCCAGCAATGGGGACCTGCCATTATATGTGGTTTTGAGCCTCTCTCCCATCCTGGGACTCATCCCAGGGTTAGGGACCTCTGTTTAGAGCAAGAGGAGCCCCAAGAAGGGTCCAGATTTCTCCTGGATTCACTCCAAACACAACTGGCTGGGAAGGGACAGAGGCAGGCGTGGAGGGGAGGGCAGGGAGCTGGTCTGAGCTAGGGGTAGCCAACACACTTTACCACAAAAGGGGGTTACCCACCAGTAGGGAAGATCCTGGAGGAAGCAGGAGCCGTCACAGTGCCCAGGATTTGTGTGAAATTCGGTCAGCTCCTGGCATGGCCGAGATTGGCAGTTCCTGGC